CGTTAGTGATGGATACTCTCATCTCAAAAGGAACTGAGTATAGATAGAGTCGTGAACATATTGATTATCAATACAGTAGATGGTACCCTTGTGATCATCTTCAGGCTGCGATGACAATAAGGTTAGGTTCTTCGACATCGTCAAAGGCACCAAAAACATGTAGGCCAGGGCCTCATTCGCTCGCTGGATTGGCTCTGGTCTGTCTAGATACGAGATGGAGGAAGAAGGTATCACGGGGATATCTCAAAGTCAGGCAGCTGCTGGTATGGACATGGACGAGACTGGTGCGGCTGTGGTGCCTCCTGAAGGTGGCGCGGCTAGAGGTCGGCCCGGATCAGAAGTAACGTTGTTTGATGTTGTGTGTTAGGCTTCGTCGAGCACATTGGTACTTAGTGTTGTTATGGCCGCTGCAATGTACGTTTCATTGACGATGTTGGTTCGTGTTGTACTAAGTGTAAAAGAACTGTTAAGAGGCATGTCGGAAGGTGAAGAAATGGCAATTGTGATGAGACTCTTGTGACCTCCAGATAGGCCAGTGGGAAGCTCGTCCGGTGTAAGCTATTCTAACAATATCCTTGAGGAATTCATTAGCCGAATGGGGCCGCGATGCCAGCGGTTTATATCATTCAGGAACCCGTTTGGCGGATTGGGCCACTATGCCTGCGGCATAGATCATTCAGAAATCTATTTGTTAAATGGGGCCACTATGGCTGTGGTCCATACCATTCAGAAATCTATTTTCCGAATGGGGCCACTATGCCAGCGGATAAGTAATCCACATGCACGAGTACGGATATCAATTTGGCGCGCGGGTATACTCAATTATATCATATGTGAATGACTCATTCAGAATGAGGAAGTCGGTTTATTGACGCGGTTCTAGTAAGGATCTCAATTGTGCGAATAAGGACCACCATAGACTCCTAGACCAACAACTTGATCTACCCTGAAAAGGTCAAGAGCGTACACCGTGTCTCTTCTATGTGAGGAAGACTTGTCCATGGTAAGAGAAGGGTGATGGCTCTAGGATGCGGAGACCAGATGAGTCCTGTCTTTCATTATATACGAAACAATCGCTCAAAGGCTTTGGCAAGCGGACAGGTTAGGAACTATAGCCCCAAGTAGAGGAACTCTTCTCCGTTGAGGGGGACTTGAAGCCCATAGTGCTTGATCGGTCTCTCTCACTCTCACCAACACTATCTCGTCGCCACTCTAATATGTAACAGCAAAATCAGCCAAGTATTGTGTTGTTTAAAATCCTCATTCACATTGCGCAACAAGAATCGTCTTCGCCGTCCCTATGACGGTTGTAATACAACTCAAGACTCTTAACCGTCGAAGTATACAAAGGTTCTAAGTGATAAACTTGATGACAAGGTAGATACCACAATAGAGCTTTACGCAACTTCAGTGATGTCGGGAATAACCGCAACAATAACTGTTATTGAATAACAACCACAACCATAAATTAGTTATGAACCTGAGTCCACTAGCTTGACGCTAGGACACAATTATGGAGACTAGAGACACACACAAAATCACAATAATTTTGTATCAATTATTTCTATAAAAATGCCGTTACCGGCACACTCCCGCCGGACGAAGGTTAAGCACGCTCTCGTTGACTTCCTTGCCATCAGGCAAACGCACCTTACAAACACTATCACTCATCTTCTCAACCAATGCCGCTGGAGACCAACCAGTGTTGAGCTTTCCAAATCTGCCTGACATAGGACGCCAACGATAGACCTTTTCACCCTCAGTAAGATCTCGTCCAGCATGTCTCTTAACACGACTCATCAACCTCTCTCGAACATTACGCCTACGTAACCACCATACATCAGCAAGCTCTTTCAACAAAACTGTACGGCCTTCTCCTTGTCGGTCTCGATATATTTGTGCAAGCTCTTCAGTCCACCAACTGGGAGGTTCCAGATCATCAAATATAGCCTTTCGAATATCTTCAGCCTCCTTGGCATCAATATCACCAATCATCCTACTATGTCCTCGACAGACAAGGAAAGGGCAAAGTGGTGAGCCATCAACATAAGGAGTCATATTAACAATAGTGACCGCTCTATTGAGTATACGTAAGAACTAATCTTCTGAAGGAAGTTTATAGTCAGCAGCCAGATCCCATAAACATCCACGAATAACAGCATGCACATCTCTATGGGCCCGCTCACCCCGTCCTCTCAACTCTTCTCCACGAGGTGGGGCAGCTATTACGGTCACATCCCATTCGTCAGCAGCTGCCAGAACCTCCGGCACATTCAAGCCTTGGTCAACCATTAATACTCTTGACGGACCCTCATCTCCTAGTAGTCGAAGTAAGGCTCTGGCTGCATTCACTCCCGATTTACTGTAAGCAGGCTCACACTTCACAAACTTGGATGAATGACAAGAGAGAGTAAATACATACACCTTTTTAGGGTCACCATCTTCCTCCTTAGAGAGCTGGTAGGGGCCCATCACATCGAAGTAAACTATCGCAAACGGCTCATATTTCACAGACCAACCAGGGGGTCGTGAAGGCTGTGCTCGACGTCTGTTCTCAGCAATCCACCTCGCCTGGCAACCTTCACATTCTCTATTCAACACCCTCACTGTCCGATCGAGTCTTTTCCAGTAGTAACTGCGCGAAACCCATCTGGTGAGAGTAGTACGACCTGGATGACCTCGATGTTTATCGTGCACCCATTTAACCACAAGAAGCTGAAGATCTCGACGAACCTCAGGAACCACAATTTGACGACAAATACATAAACCTCTATTCGAATCATCTAGAGCTCATAACCGTCAATAACACCATCAGCAGCTCTGAGCTTCTTGAGGATATCCCGTACCTGAGGATCGGCGGTCTGAGCATCCAGTGACAGCTGGCGAAGACCTTCGCTAGACTCCAAAGAAGGAGTATCTTTCGGCAGATCCAACACAGCATTAGCTGACACATCAGAAGAAGACAAGACAAGTTGTCTTAGACAACATCCAACTCATCCTCAACCTCAGCATAGCCTAAGGTGGGAGAGAAAGTAAAGACCACCTTGACCTTACTCAGAGTGAGCTCAATATTCATTCCAGATAAAGGCATCATCCTAACTGGAACATCTATCATACCCGGACGCGTTCCATTATCCGCAGGATTCTCCGCCCCCGAAATGCTACCAATATGAATATCATGATGGCATTTATGAGATAGATCAGAAAGTAGCTTGCGCAGCCTCATCATACGCCGGAGCTCAAACTTCGGCAGATACTTCTCATCAAGCTTAGGTGATCGACGGAGCCTCCACGCATTAAGATCAATCTCTTCGAGAAGAACGGCTGGAAGTTCCACAGCAAGGAGCAACCCGCAGAGCTCAGTCGAAATCGCTCTTGCATCGGCACAGATACAACCTGTCCCAGCCGCATCACAGGAGATTATAATGCCAGAGCGGATATCAGTAAAACGAGGCTCAACTGGGACATCAACAGAATCCCACGTAGAGGTCAGCCGAGCTACTTGTCGAAGGAGCCATCTTTCCCTCGCCGTTGCCTCGATGTGGATACCAAGTGGATCAAAAAATATCGACCCAAGGTCACCGAAAGAGTGTCATCAGCAAGGTTCCATTGATAGCCCAAAACCTTCACCGGTTTAGTAGAACTCATCGAGGGTGCTGTTCGGTTGACACTCCATACTATACTTCTCTGCCAAAACCTTACGGCCGGTACTCCGACGCTCCAACATTGTATCCGTAAGGTTATTGAGTACAATACCAGCATCCACTAGCACAGCCGATAATATGGCTGGACTACATATGAGACCAAACGGGAGACGAAGGCATTTGAAGAAAGGCACGAGCCACATCGTCCCATTGGGACGTTTCTTGGCAAGAAACGTATGGTGCTAAACGCCATCGCAACAATACTTTTTGCAGTGCC